CTCCTAGGACATCAGCACCTTTGGGAAATGAGGTCCCAGCATGACTCAAGGACGCGGTGAGCAGAGAGATGGGGTATTTGTGTGAAGGCAGAGGTAAAGTGCCACCAACTGTGGTGGCACCATGGGTACCTGTGCTCCTGGCATGCCTGTTTACTTAAATAAAAGCAATTAGCCATTTAAATATTCCCTGTAACATTCACATCACTCATAATAAAGGTCAAACCTGCTCTCAACACACAGAGCATAATTTGAAAGCTAAAACTCATTTAAAACTCAAAATATTTGGAGGAGATATAATCCAAAATTGCCTATGACTTTAGGTCACAATAAAGGAGTGTATTTTAACACTAGAACGAGTAAAAGGTATTTTTTCCCCTGCAAAATGGACTCTCCTTAGAAAATGTCTCCAAAACTCGTTATGCACACACACGTTCTGTCTTTACAGAGTAATTTTCTGAGGAATCCTAGACAATTCCCTAGCAGAAAGGCATCTGATATACTAGAATACATCTGCATCAGAATAAATCATTTCTGTATCTCATTAACATGGCAAAATTGAAATATTTATTATAAATTTGGTCGAAGTGTGAGAATTGCTCAGCAGTAGAATACTTTGGAACTTTATATACTCTACAGATATCGATCATGAATTAAAAGAATAGCAACAAAAACTTTAATTGTACTATTTGTTATAAGTAGGTCTAAACTAAAAATTAGTTTATATAATTACATATGAGGGAAGTACACGCGTTTACTTTGCAAACTTCTGTATTTTGTTTCACTTAAAATTTATATGGCACTTTCTGTTTGTCAGGTACTTACAAGTGCTTTAGAAATGTTAATTTAATTGTTTTAATAACTCTGTGAGAAAGGCACTATTATTACTTCCATCTTTCTGGAATGGCCAGAGGCTCAGAGAAGTAAAGTAACTTGTCCAAGGTTCGGGGCAGCCAGAACCAAAGTTTAAATCCAAGTGGCAGTACTGCCTTCAGGATCTGGGCTACTAACATCTGTACCAGTAATAGCAAACCTATCACATGCATGCCGTAGTAGAAAAGTTTGAAAAGGTCCACTGTCGCTGATCCACTCTCCTTTTACCTTCTTCCTAAAAGAGTTCGAGGACAGAACCAAAAGGACTGTCTTTTCTCTGCTACCAGGAATCGAACTCAGGACCTTGCGCTTGTCAGGTAGGTGCTGTGCCACAGAGCTAAATCCCCAGCCCCAAAAGGACTATCTATAAACCAACTTCTTATTCTGTAGGAAAAGCAGTTCTCCTTCTTGCTCTGTAAGAATAAATCTAAAGAAGAGGTTTCAAGTAACTTCAGCAAGCCTCTTTTTAACTGCATGTTAAAAGTCCCACTAGACCCTGGGGAGTCTCCCCTCCATTTTTCCAGAATTTTCAACCATTTCTCCATCCTCAGCTCTGCTTTAGTCTCTATTGATTACTTTCACGGCTTAACCTTTCCTTTTGCCTCCAATCTGATTCAGCCTACCTTCCTAAAGTTTCTAAAGGCTGGGCATGGTGGCGCATGCCTATAATCCCAGCACTCAGGAGGCTGAGGCAAGAGGATCATTGCGAGTTCGAGGCCAGCCTGGGCTACAAAGTGAGCGTGAGGCCAGCCTGAACTGCATAGCAAGACCCTGTCTCAAAAAGACAAAAAACATAGCAAAACTAACATTTTTAAAATGCAATGGTTGGGGCTGGGGATTTAGCTCAGCGGCAAAGCGCCTGCCTGGCAAGCGCAAGGTCGTGAGTTCGGTTCCTGGTACCGGAGAAAAACCAAAAAAAAAAAAAAAGCAATGGTTGTCTTGTTGATATGATCAACGGTCTTTGACATCAGAGCTTTATTTTCTGGATAAAAGCCAGGTAATTTAGATGAATGCATGAAGTGCTTGTGAGTTCATTATCCTATTCCGAACGTTGCACACAGTAGGTGTGTCAGTGGCTTTTGTCTCCATGGACCTTTTACTAGAGCCATACTGAGCTGTTGCCATTTAATCCCCCTTGGTATTTCTTTTGTGAGATTTCCTCCCTGCTCCCAGCCCCCAGGACAGTTTGTATCACCAATGTTCACCTAGACAAATGTAATTCCTCCTTCAAAGCCCAATTCATGCATCCTTTCGTCTCCCACCTTGAGGATGGACTTCAAGCCTTTCTCATGATTTGCTCATAGCCACAGTATGTCCTACCCTTCACACCAGTGATTTGCATCCACAAACCTCCCCCTCCACCCACTCCCACAGCAATACTCAGCATGACTTGTGCAGCATCAGCATCATATGGAAACTCGGATGTGCTTCTCAAACCTCACTCTTAGACCCAGCAAGTCAGAATTTCTGGGGCTGCTGCCCACTTAGGGTTCTTCTGCCTGCAATGGTAGAGCAGCACCACAGTGGACCAGTGGTGGACCAGAAGTTCCTGTGATCACACAGCCCACCACATCTTACTGTCTCTAGTCCCCAGTGCCTCTGTGTGGGATGAAGCAATGGATCAATAAAAGATCAATGAGTGAATGTGGGTTAATCCTTTGAATGATCCATTAAACCTGTCTCTTCAATGAGATAAATTATGCAGCAGATACTATAAATATTCTTAGGTCCATTAATGTCTCCACATGTTCTTCAAATTGGATTTTTCTTTAATAGTGAGGATCTACAAGTATGAACCTTTTAATTTTGAACTGGTTAAGGCTCAGTGCATTGTTTCATCACTATGATGAGGGATACTGAGATAATTACTTTAGAACCGTTTAAGACAAAAATGAGAATTCTGTAAGATGCATAAATGTCTCAAAAGTGCATTCTACGGATAACAGAGGTCTCCTTCAAGATCAAAATATAGCAGAGGTGGTACCCTCTGCTTCAAGATCTGAAATTATTAGCGCTCCTTCAAAGCACCATTATCTTTCTGATGACTACTTTTCGAAAATAGTAGTTTAAGAAGGAAAATGAAAATTATAAACCCCCATAGGCTTCCACATATCACAATATTATCTGAGATGTTTCTAGTTTCTCACAAAACAGTCTGCATGCAATATACTGTTCACGGATTTATTGCAACCTTTCTGTTAAAATTAAAAAGGACACATGGGGGAGCACGGATTTCAATCCTTCACAATAACTGATAGAATTTTACCACATACCCACTCAGGTCACTAATAAGATCTTAAAGAGAAATAACTCAACAGTAGACTAGCACTTAAATGCTAGCAGTGATAACTAATTACATCTTACTATATCCAAACTTTTATTTAAATGAGGTTGTAATGGGTGAGTTTTTTATGAGTTGTTTTAACCATCTTTTGAGGTTGAAGCCTTCTGAAATGGCAGACTGTAACACAACATCTTTTCCCAGGTCTGGTGGTACATGCCTGTAACGCTAGCACTCGAGGCTGAGGCAGGAGGACTATAAATTCAAGCACAGCTTGGGCAATTCTAGTCAGCAAGACTATTTCAAAATAAAGAGGTCTGGGAATATAGCTCAGTGGGACGGGCCAGTGCTAAACCCTCAGTACTGGGGGATCAATGGGTTATGCTAGTAAAACTGTTGTCCTCTGGGCACTGAAATGCAAAATGATTAAAGCATTGAGTCTTCGTAAATAGGAAGTACACCCCCACTCCCCTCCACCCTCAATAGGCTTCAAAAAGGTAACAGAGGTGTCCACACTGTGACAATGTGCCCATTCTTCAGAGACCAATCTGTAGCTCCTGTGTCTTACACTTCTTGCATGTCACACGGTCTATGGTGGCCTTCAGCTCCTCCACAAATATTTTCATCTCACCTACCTAGAAAATTTCTTGGTTGAGGGCATTTTCACCAGTGCTCATTTTTATGGAAATAAATGAGCAAATTCTATTTTTGGAAAATTTCTCCAGTATTAGTTGTGGTAGAATGTATATTCTGAAATTTAGTGGGTAAAGAAAGCACAGGGAGCAGAAAGTAGTTTATGAATAAACAAAAGGTGGAAATGTCTTAATTAGCAATCCAAAAAGTGCACCCCTGTTCCCATGTTATAATGAAGCCCCCACAGCACTAGCGACCTTGCTCTAACAACCTTGTTTTCCAGAGCACTTGCTTATTTCAGCCCCAGAAATGCCTTCCACCTTCCTGTTTCCTCCCATGTTTAAATCCATGGCTTCCCAGACAAAGCAATCAACTGAGAAAAAGATAATTCAGGGAGACTGGCTCTTGAGCGGCCACAATGAAGCGGGTGGTGCACTCCCAATTGTCTTGGGATAACAGAAACAAACAAATGTGGATTAAGTTTAAACAGCAACACAGAAGAGATAATGGCAGCAGACTTTCTGGGATTAAAATCTTTGCAATTCAGGTTGTAACTGTGATTAAGCCAATGAGAATGGGGAGCTCCAGTTCCTTTATTCTCTGGAGTAAGGCCAAAAAGCAGGTACCTATAGAAAGTGAACCCTGAGCAGATGGAGTGGTTAAACAAATGTAGAGGGTTTTGGAACTACTAGAAAAGCATCAGAAAGGAGCAAAGAAAATATGTATGTGTGTAATTATGAGCCTATGTATGTTATGTGTATATATGTACTTGATATGGGAAAGTAACTGAGTATATAACTGTATTAGAATTCTTATCTGGCATATTACCTTTTATTCCGAGATCTAAGCTATTGTAACACTGCAGGAAGCAGCAGCATTGGTCACATCAGATGCCAGACTTTGTTCAGTACAAGTTTCCCTTCATACATGGAAATCCAGATCTTTGAGCAAGTATAGCATCAGAATGCCAGGCATCCATGTGTCCTTAACAGGAATATAAATGATATAAATGCATCCATTCATTCCTTCCCCATAGCAGTCAGGCTTTGAACAATGCACTGATTAACATGTCCATCTTCGCTTAGGCTGCTGCCTCAAATTTTTACTTCTTTAGGAATCGAAGCTATCTGAACACTTAGCAAGTGCTCCTGAAAAAGCAGCTCTGTAAAATGTACTGGTAGAATGAATTTTTATTTCATGCGAGTGACAAAAATGGTAAGAAACAAATCTATGAACCAGTTTTATTTTATTTGCATTTAACATGATTATACACATTCATGTGTCTAACAAGATCTGCACTGTTACATTAAAAATACAGTACAATAACATTCAACATGAGGTACTTCATATTTATATATTTTCCTTCATAAATAATGCTGTAAGCTGCTAAAGTCAAGCACTCTGATGCCAAGTGGCTAAAGTGTCTTGAATTAGCTGAGTTTATTTCAACACCTTAAAAAAAACCAAGAAGACAGTTCAGTGCAATAATCATGGAAAAATTAGACCATTTACTTAAATACTATTTTAAGATATGCTTAAAGAATGTTACATTAGAACTGCTAGCCTAGTTACCCTTTCTCCCCAGTATGAACAAGAAAGACAGCCAGATACATTGGGAAAAGCATCTACAGCATACTCTGCTTAATAAAGGTGTATTTATACATTAGAGTTGCTTGCCTTGTCAGAGCAATGGTTTCTACTCTTAAAAGCTACAAAATTCAAAATTACAAAAACAAAACAAAAACAAAATGACAAACCCAAAGCAAGCACATTAGCTTTCATTCCATTTTGCTGAAAATGCAGAAAGGAGAATAGGGTTCAAAATATAAAATTTCTTGCTCTAACACAATTTTCAAATTTTACCCACAGCTCTTGGTGCAGGCCAATCTGACGCTGGACGTAGGAGTAACTGGTATAAAATTAAGTGGAACAAGGAGTGTATGGGATCTCACATGGCTTCACCCAGCAGGCCGCCAGCCTTGTGGAGGGCAGCTCAGTCGAAGGAGAGCTAAAGTGAGCAGAGAGCGAGTGGTACCACTCTAAGGCTTTCACATCCACCTCAGCCACGGGATAGGATGAAATCGGTGCTCACGTTTCTTCTCCTCTGGCTTAGAACAGTGCCTTCTCATCAGGCCTACCAATGCACATGGTAGTGCTGAGTTACTGAAATATTTAACCATAACCTAAGAACAAAATCTCTGAAGCATTTTGAATTGAAAATGTGCCCCTATTTCACTGATGCTTTGCCAAAACTACCTGTAATCTCCCTAATAAGAAATAACTATTCACAGATATAGGTAATGGCAAATATGACTGAAACATTTCCCATAATCCAGTGTTCTCCTCCATCGGGGCAGCTGGCCAAAGGCAACAAGCCCCAGTCTCCAGGGGAGGAAGCGGCCCAGAAGCACAATGAGGAAGAGCAGTCATTCCTTGGGCCTTTCTGGGCTCAGCAGGGGGACCATTTTTGTCCCACCTCTCACTAGCCAGGCAGGGAGGAGGTGATTCCTGAGTCGGCATCTCACTCGCATGCGCACAGGAGCGCAGGCACACACACACCCCAGGACTAACCCCTGATCCAGACAAGCCAGTTTCGGGCTTGGAGCAGGAGAAGGAGGTGGCCAGGGACCACACTCTAGGTGGTGGGGAAAGCCATCTCAGGACCACACTGAGCAAGAAGCTGCCCAGAAACACATGGATACTTCACCTGGCAGTGACATAGTAGACACTGCAGGGTCACAGGCACTAAAACAACACAAGCCATCACTGAAGGAGAACTTCTAATGAGCACCTCCCTCCTCTGCTTACATTATCCATGGGCAAATGAAAGAGCTAGAGTAATGCTGATGCAGTGAATATTAGGCATAATCAAGTGTGTCACTCAAAAACCCTGCAGGCATATATTGGCACTTTTGCTGGCCAGAGGCCAGATTCTAGCAGTCCAACAAGACAAAACTATAATCAACAAATAAGATAGTATAATGGTCAAAGATCAGGTAAAGTTATATTTCAGGTTAAAAACAAACAATGAATAAACTACTTACCACATTAACATGTAGTGCTACAAAATTGTTACTCCCTTCCTCTAAAGAATTGTTTGGTCCTCTTTTAATGGGCAGAAAGGGAAAAGGAATTCTATACAATGTGACATACAAAAGTAATCAGATAGCCAGGATCCAAAGCTACATGGCAAGAAAAGTGTTTGGTTTTTTCAAACTCTGTACTCTAATGTGTCATTAATTACACTATTTGTGGTACAGGACTTCTTCGGCCTTCTTTTTTAAACAGCTTTAGTGTAAATTAGTAAGCCTGAAATCTTTTTTCTATTGACAGTACAATTTTATAATTGTGTCACTTCTAAAAGAAGTACACTCTATGGTGATATTGTGTCTTCAAAACAAAAATATAAATCTGTTTTGTAGTTAAAGCCATGGTCTAAACACCCAATTTCTTATTTTCCTATTTTATACTGACAGTGCATTACATGTAATAATTTTCTTATGAATTTAGGATTTAAAAAAGTAAAGCCTAGAATCAACAAACTTAAAATGAATAAAGAGCCAAATATGACTACTGTCTACTTTTTAAATTATTACTTATTATAAGCCAAAGCTTCTTCTATAATTGTATACAGAGTTTTATCTTTTTTTAGGGGCCAGGGCTTCTGTTTAAAAATAACTCTTGATGTTATTATTTTAGATCATTTCCATACATCAAATAAAATCCGAAAGAAATTTCGAGGTGATCCCAAACTTTCTTCAGAGGGGCAAAACCGGGAGGTCAGTGGGGCACTTGGAAGAATACAATCTCTCCTTCAGGTGTACAGACACAACTCTAAAGACCACAAGCCTTAGGAAGAATTTGGCTCTTAAGTATGTAGTTAAAAGCAGAATGCCGCATTTTAGCCTGTACATAATTAAAAGGTTAAAAGAAATTAGAAACGCCTACCGCTTCATTCATTACAAATTACCTGTGCTGATCGCTTATCTGCAGAGGAGCTAAGCATTAAGCAAGGAGGGACCAGATATGCACCTCTGGCTTGCACTGCTTGGGGAGGCAAAGTTTCAAGCATAGAATATAAGTTCAGGGATCTGGCCTCCCTGCACGCCAGTGCCATTTGTGCTATCTGAGGAGCACTGAAACTGGACAGTCACTTTGCCACACTGCACTTCCGTCATGCCTTCCTGTCCGAAGTAGCTGAGTTCATTGCCATCCAGGATCACACTGGCTGTGTAGAAGGTGTCCGGCTCGATCTGCACCGGGTACTCAAACCACACGGGGAAGGTATTGCTGGACCCATCTGAGAAGTACTTGCTCAGGTTCTGCCCCAGGACGACACCCTGCCGCTTGAGTTCGATCTTGGCGCTGTACTCTGCAGAACCACAACTGGAGCCATACAGCCCAAAGCCCGCAATGAACACCCTCTTGTCAACTGCAAACTGGATGCTGTCACAGCGGCCTCGATAGCGCCACTGGTTGCTCCGATAGGCACAAGACTGGAATCGGTGACAGCGCTGGGGGACAAGACCCTTGCGGGCTTTACTCACAAACTGCAGCTCTGGCTTTTTGGCTGCAGTGTACCAGAGGAAGATGTCGTTGGTCTCATTGAGAGTTAATACCCCGGACTGGGCAGCACCATTTGCAAAGTCATCAAGGGCCATTGTGGGTATTCGGATCAAGTAAAGTGCCTTTCCTAGGACCTTGCGTTTATTTTCAATGCTCAAGGCTAGATCTTGTCGCTGGCATTCTACTTCAGCCCAGTTGAGAGCTGCCTCAAAAACAACGATTTCTTTGGCATTCAGAGTTTCCCTGCGGAGGATACTTTCTAGTGTTTGGAAGTCGATGTCACAGAACCCCTCAGACTTGAGAGCTAACTCAGCCTGGGCATCAATCACTTCCCAGCAGCGCTGGGTCAGGTCTGGCTCTTCGAACAGGCAGCTCTGGGAGAGCAGCACACAGGCATTCTTGGCGCTCAGGCTGGTCTCCAGGAAATTAACGCAGGCTCGGGCAAGGTGAGGGACGATGTACTTTTTGGCAGCATACAGCGTGGCCAACACTGTGTCAGCAGCCAGGTCAATTTCATCACAATAGATATACCTGAAACAAAGCATGCAACGTGTGAATGGGACCCTCAGAAAATGAGCAGCAAGCAAAGAAACTACTTCTAAATTTGTTCCAAGAACCTCATCTTAAGTGTTACTATAAAATGTTTAACGAAATACCCAAAATATATTTGTAAATTATTAACATATAACTCAATATATGATGCAAAGCATTAACTAGGTATTACAATTCTAGCCTTTCAATAAAAACAGAAATAATGCAACTATGTCAAAAGGGGTGGCCCCACAGACAAGCAATTAGTGAAAAAACAGCAAAATACTATCAGACATATTGCATTAATTTAGAAAACAGTTCTACTCCTACATTTTAAGGACAATACACAACTTTATATGTATATAGATATGTGTTTTTACAGTAGTTTTTTCCTGTATTCGGATAGAAACAAATGCCTCTAATATATCAAAAATAGTTGCATCTTGATGCTTTTGGACGTTTCCTAAATACAAAATAAAACCTGGTATGAAAAATTTTTCAAATAGCTACAAGTTAATAAATGATCAAATATGATCATCAGTGCTATCTTCCAGTTAACTTTATACAGAATCCATACTTTGTATCTGTTTTTCAAACTCTAAACTTCTATGCTCTTTCTCCCTACACATTTATTCCACCTTTGGAAATAAAGAATACACTGCTTCTAGATAAAGTAACTAAAGCAGGTAAGTTTCAATGTTTAGTTTCTGTGATTCTGTCAACACTGCTTATCTCAGGAGATGACACCTGCTTATCATTGTGGGGGACGATGGTGACCTCCCCAAAAGGCTATGGAAAGGCAGAAGGGCTGCTTCTCTCACACTGTCACAGTGACAACTATGAATGAAAGACACTGACAACATTTCACTTTTACATTTTTTTGGAGAAAGCATATATATTAATACTTTATTTTCTCTTAGTAAGACAGACATAACGTACAAAATAAGCAACAACTTCTTCAATGAAGTACTAAAATACAAGGATAAGAAGAGAATTTTTCTCTGTCCAAAAGTGCAAATGGGACCCGCCTTGCCCTCTCGCTCCCAGGGGGCCTCCTCTTCCGTGACAGGCCGAGCAGTATAGGTGCAGCTTAGTGAGGCTTCTGTTTTGGAGGGGCAAAGATGGGACACGCTTCAGGAACATGGTCAGTACTTGGTGGCGCCTACCGTGGAGCTGTCAGGGAGCAGCCACCCCCTTTCTTGACAAGTCCTTTTCCAGGAACACTGGCTACTCACCAACAAAGCACAAGGGGAATGAACCTGGTCACCACTCTCCCAGCTATAGCATGGCAACAAATGGCCTTTGACTGCATTTCTGAGTCTCAGTGCTGTACATGTACAGTTGTAAAAAGCTTTATTATTATAAAACTATGTGCTAGGCAATACATCTTCGAAAGAACACATAATAAACATTCAATCAAGTGGCCTAGGTGAGATGTAACTCTGGTGTTCTTGCTGTTTCCTAATTATGCACATGTCCAGAATGACTACTTTTCTGCAGTGAGGCCAAAATGTTGAACTGGTACTGCATTCTGCTCACTAACAGAGAACACTGTCAAATATATCAAGCTAACTTCCCCTGGGATGTGGGCAGGGGCTCTTGCAGGTACAATCAGTTTCAGTACACATATCTCTAAACATCACAAAAGTTAAAAGTGGTAGATTACATTTTGATACTTCCCATGCGCACTTCCCTTTAATTTCCCTGCCTCCCACTGTGCAAGTTCCAGTCAGCAGCAATTTGATTTCAAAATTATAATACGAATAAAGATCACTTTTAAGCTCTGGAACTAACTGTAACTTATGTTCCCATAGGTAGTAAATTACATAGCAGCATTTTAGCCTTTGTGGGGTATTGTTTAACTTGTTGACCCAATGAATAATTTTTTTCAATAAACATTTTATTTAAGCCAATGAACTACAATCCCAGAACAGCAGGTAACCTTGAATTCATAGAAATGCAATTAAGAAAAACAATAAGCATTATTTAAAATGAGATTTCAATCACATGGGAGATTATCACATTGTCCAACATGGGTACATGGCAAAGATGATTATATGTACACAGTTAACATATATGTATTGGAGTGTGCCCCAAACCCGCTAGACATGAAACTATTTTTACAAATATATGGCATATTTTATATTTTTATGTCAGTTGAAGTTTTTCCATATAAACTCATGTGAAACTATGGGAAACTACACCTTTCAAGAATTATTCCTGTAATAGCAAATACAAATGCTTCTTATCCCAGTGGTGTCTGATTTTAGGTAAGAGAATGCATAGGTGTGCACAAAGTTCAGATTATTTTAACAAATAGTAAGTTTGCATCTGCTGGCAGAAAATAACTCCTAGAAAACTAAAAAATCTCTGAACTGGTGGTATTTAAATAGGTATATAATTTCTAGAATTGTGAAATAAAAAGTATTTATTTGAAGTTTTTCACACACAGTGGTTTCAGACAGAAAATGCTCTATTAAATAATGTTAACACCAGAAAATTATTTCTATTTTCCTTTAATTACAGTTTATTAAAAACAAAATTGTTAGGGACGCCACCTGCATCCAAATACTATGCCAAGGTGTGGTTATAAATGCTTGCAACATTCCACACTTTTCACTGAAAGATGAACAGTTTTCTCTAAAAACGTTTACAAGGTAAGCAGCACCCTCTCTCTTCATCCATCTCTTTTTCTGTTACACAGAACTTACACTTAACTCTGAAGCCAGCAGAGTAAAATACAGCATAAACAAACTCTTTCCAAACACACGAATAATGCTTACTTCAGCATAGCGAGAAAAGCAGCAGGTTCGACATCTGGTATACGGATTTCATCTTTGTCCTCAGCAAGTTCTCCGTAAAACATCGCATGGAACACAGAGCTCCCAACAGCTAAGACATACTGTGGAGAAAGGAAAATCTTATTTCATGCACTAAATTGAACGTGTTTTCTGCAAATCAATTCAGAAAATCAACGCCAAGCAATCAGGTTTAGTGGGCAGGGAGTACCTAAGCCTATTCTCTGAAAAAGCCAAGGTACAAGGTATCCTGCCAGGGAAGCATAAGAGATTCACACATAAAGGTTTCTCCACTAATTATCTCAAAGCTCTGAGAGATTAATGCACAGGCCCCCTCAGTGTGAAATAAAAGCTTATCTAACTGATTTCTAGGAGAAAGATAAACATCTGACTTTCCAAACCTGCCACAACAACTTCCCAGGACTAGAGATAAGAGGACATGCATATTTTTGTGGGAGATACAAAACAGTGTACAAGGAAACAAAGAAAAATTTAGCGTGGCCAGAGCCCCTTGGAGAGGGTATGCGTTCTCTGTAACTGGGTGAAACACATGCTGCCTGCCCGCGGCAAGCTGCCCACACTAAGTTTCAGGCTCACAGAGAGGGTCCCTCTTTGTAAATCTCAGGACTAAACCGGTAATGCAGCTGTTGCTTACTTTGTGTCCTGGCAACCGCTGAGTCCCACCTGGTGGCCCAACCACAAAATGTACATCTGCCATCAAATCATTATTGAACATCACCGCATTTCTATAAACAGAGGCAATTCATTAATTAGTAGCAACCAGCATTCTTTACATCCCTTTTCCCAACAGAGAAAATTCACAAAATACTCAAAGCTAATCAAGTCTAATAAGTGCAAGACAACAACAAATGAAGGTTTCAACTAAACTGTGTTTGTAATCACTGCAAACACATGGAAAGTAACTCAAGTTAAAAAAAAGTTACACAAACTTTTCACAAGGCTAAGAATAAATAAAAGGTTTCTGTCTGCTATGCCCCATATACACAGCCCTGTCACTTCAATGTTACGGCGTGCAGAAATATTTTTATCTTAAGAGGAAAACAGCTGTAGTGTTTTGGAAAAGATACAAGGCAGTTTTCCATTACCAATAAAGCTTCTGGGAAAAAAGGAAGCAGATCTGTGTTAAAACACATTACAGGTTGTGCAGAAGCAGAAACTTCAACACAGGAAAACTTTTAAAGTAAATCTGCTGGGCTGGCACTTACCTTTCTCTAATGGTGGGATAGAGACCTTGCCAGTTGGGGGCCGGGATAAGGTTGTTGTTGCTCAGATTCTGCTGGTGGTACTGCTGGACAGTGGTGCTGCTGGAGCTGGCTGGTTTTTTGCGGGGAAATATATCAGCAGCCATCTTCTTCTTCTTCTTAGTCTTCAAGGTAATTATTTCATAACAAACTGGGGGTAACTTGGTGCTGCTGCTGCTGCTACTGCTGCTGCTAGAATTTGCTTTCTTCGAGCTTTTCTTGGACCTATTCTTTACCGTCTCTGGAAGCATCAAGAAGAAGGTGAGACATTTCATGTTCTTTTCCTTGTCATCTACCATGAGTACAGTATGTCTCTCTTTAGAACTAGATATCCCAAACTGGTTCGAACATCAAGCAAAAGAGGCTAGCTGGAGCTGAGATGTTAACAGAAACCACAAGCTGTTATTTTGCTTCTTTTCTCAGCCAGGCAAGGTGACCTTTTCACTATGTTGAATAGAAACTGGCTTTAAGTTTTATCCAGTACTGGGTCTGTTAAATACATCCCCATCATGATTCCTTTTTCTCTTATTTGTTCATGAAAATAAGCGCCTCCTAGATCACCTGAAAATGCTACACTGAGAGAAGTCGTCAGGCACAGAGCTGTGGCACTTGTTTTCTGAATTAGGTTAGGAAGATATACTGGAGCCCAGCAAGTCTGTTCAGCCGGCTGAAGTTGTGTGGTGAATGGATCGGAGGAGAGTAGGTATTACAGCCCTGCAGATGGAGTGAGACAGCCAGTGCTCGGAGCCAATAGCTGAAGTCACCAATCATGATTGGACCAAGCAAAACAGTGACACCTATTGTAACGTGCAGAGTTCTGATATTAAAGGAACAGCAGTTGCATTCTCAAGTCTACTGTATATTTAAGTAAGATAAACAACATATGAAATAGATTTGAAAACAGGAAGGGAGGAGTTTATGCTCACAGATTCTCTCCAGGAGACACAAATTTTTCCTTCCTCGGCTAAACAAGCAGGGCCAACTAATAAAGAATAGGGACAGTTACCTACTCTGTATTTCTGATAATTTTTTTCCTTGCAGCATTTAGTTTCAAGCATTTCTAACAAAATCCTGTGGTCTATAAACTAAGAGACCTTAATAGCAAAACCAACACTGTACATATTTATTACAGCTTAAGAAGAAGGGATGCCGATTTTCCTTTTGTTTTTTTTTTCTTTTTCAGTGTCTTTAAAAGCAAGTTTTACTCTAGTACCAAAAAAGAGAGCTAAATGTTTTCTAGATCCTATAATGATCTCTGACAAGAGTCCCAGTCACAAAACACTGTTAATTAGGATAAGATTATACCAGTATGCTTAGCTGCACTGAAGCATAAGACAAATTCTCAACATAAAAATAACATTCAAATGAGACAAATCTGGTAATCAGTGTTTAAAGACTATAATTCACTAAAAATATGTCAGATGGGGCCCTGTTCAGGATCTCAAAATCCAACTTAACTGTTATGGCTACGTTTAATCTTGTTATTATAATTTTAAAGAATATAATCCACTACTTCTAACATAGAACCAATAGGACTATTTAGAGAGATAAAAATCTGACACTGCCTAGTTAAAATGCAAACAGGTTCTCTCTGCTTTGGATTAAAATAAAAGCTAGTATATGGTTTTCATAGATGTGAATCCAACAATTTTTAATTAAAAACAAAAACAAAAACACCTGCTGTAGGTTCTATACACGCTTGTTTATTTGTAAAGAGGGACTAATGAAGAGATTTAATCTCACTCCAACCATTTGGATTACTCTCATTTGTTCCAAGGGCAGCCGCCACTTGCCACCCCAATCTAATGAATCCGTCAGGAACACAACCCTGCTTATTACACAATATTCATCTGAATAATGACTGCCTGACAAAGTGAGGGGCTCAGTAAACAAGAATATGATTGTTACTGTAATTAATAACCTAGTAAAGACAGTAAGCACACCAGAAAACAGTGTTTAAATCCCTAGGATCTTAAATCACTAAATTGAACCAAAGAGTTGTCATTATTATTATTCAAAGCCATTACAAAACATACTGTTCACAAGAACGAGTCTTCAGCATAAGGGTACTACGATGGTTTTGGATGGCCCCCGAGTGTTGCTTGCTTACTACAGATCCTGAGTGATCAATCATAAGGCTAAGAAGACATCATACATGCACACACTCGCATACTGCCTTCAAACACACTTTTAATGCACAAATTTGGACATATCTAGAAAACCAGTCCAAAAAGCACCTATGCAGACGATGGTTAAAACAAAAGATTTCTCTCCTCTGCTGCTATTCAACTTCATGATCATGCCCGTCCAAAGAGAGCACCCACATCAGGCAGGCCCTCCTAGGTATTTCTAACACACGTAGTACTATCTACCTTTTTGGGTCAGAGTAATCAGAACTAAAAGGGAAACCAGCAGCTTTAAGGCAGACATTATTAACTGGCAGCAAAGGGAGACAAAACAGTAAGACCATAGAAGAACAACAGAGAAGGTTTTGTGGATTTTATTCCTTTGCAGATAGGTCAATACTCATCAAAAAGAAAGGCTGCAAAAAACATGGCTCTTCACATCACTAAGTGAGTGACGCAACTGTTTGAGAAAATTATACAGTATTTTTGAAAATGCTTTCTGAATTAAAGAGTCCAGTTATGTGGAAAATTAAGCTTTAAAGAAAAGTTTAAAAATGCTAATTAAGTGGCCAGGTTCTGGATCAAAACCTGGACAAGATCGTTCATACTCTGCATGGCATTCAAGTCTGAAATAACCTCAGAAACTAAAGACTGTTAAAAGTGTCTTCCCAAAGATTTTGTATCACTTCTACATTTTGCATTCAACTCTCAAATAAATGAACAAATAATTCAAAATATTTAATTTGCTTTACACAAAAATTTATGCCCTCATATCTTGTTCTGAAATTTTTCTGATTAACGGTCAAAACTGAAGGATTTAGGTGTACAGCTCTGTGAAGGCCCATGATACCTGCCCATTCTCTGGAAAAGTAGCTGAAGGCCAGCTTATCTTAAAAGACAATGACAGATGATTTTAGTGGGAAAAATAAAGGATTCAAAAATGGCAGGGATGAAGCTAATGAGGCACTTAAATATTTTTAAATAATCTATTTCACAGTTCTATTTCAAAAAAATAGCAAGGCAGCATAACAGCATGATAAAATCAGCAATCCAGTGATCCAGTTCAGTCCTGGCTGGACCACTTACAATGGGGAGGGGGATTTGAACAAACCATTTAGCCTGCCTGGGCTTATAAAAAACGAGGAGATTCATCTATAATACATTTGTATTTCTCAAACTTTATGCTCAATCTACAGTAAAAAGTATATTTTATATTCTGACTCAGTACTAACTCATATAGAGGAATACAAATGGGAAGAGTTCACAAAACTACTTCTGATAGTTTCCATTTTATTCTTTTGCTTTTTATTCTAATGTTGGTCTTGAGCCATTCAATTGTTCTTAAGACCAACACTGGTCTACATCATTTTCAGGGACATTTACGGCTTAACAGCCAGGGTTCCTTCCTTCCTTCTTTTCTACTTTTTTGTTCTTTTTCCCCAATCCTAGGGAACACACTCCAGGCCTTTGCATGAGTTACACTCCCAAACCTTTTTTTTTTTGAGAGAGGGTATGACTAAATTGCTAAATTGCCAGGTTGGGGCTTGAACTTCAAGTTCTCCCTGCCTCAGCCTCCCAGAGTACTGGGATTACAGGCATGAACCACCATGCCCATCCCTAGCTCAAAGGATTCTTTACTATCTAGAGTTTGGGCTAAGGAAAGCCGGCTGAAAAAGAAGGCAAGGCTCCACTGACTGAATGTCTATAAAACATCATACTGTATGTAAAATCAGCAGACTGCATTACTTTTCTGGAAAGAATAATGATACATTTCATCTACCCTTTTGAGTAATCTATGACATCTAGAAAAATCTAGTATTGATCTGAATACACAAAACTTTATTATCACTTTGTTTTCTGTTTTCATTTCTGTAATCTACTACAGTAAATACAAGTTATGGATGCTTTTCTCCCGATTAAAGACCTATAAACAGTTAAAATCCCATGTATGCCATATGTAACCTGGGCATGTCAGCTACTAGTCTGAAAGGTAATATTGGGTAACAGCTCAATATCCACTGTTAAATTATACCTCTAAAATTTTTTTCAAACTAGTGTTCTATCACTTGGTCTTACACTTCCTGTATTTTATAGCTACTTCAAGACATAGTTTATCTGTACAAATGAAGTAAACAGGTCAAGACAAGTTCATCAATCTTTAACGAAAGTATATTCAAAATACACCAGGGTGATCAAGGGTATAACAAGTCTTAGTTATACAGTAGGTAAGATCAGAAAACAAGCTCAAAAAAGAAAAGCTAGTAATAGTGGATTTTAGTTGAGTTTATTTTATTGTATACTCGCAGTATAATAAGGATTGAACCCACAGCCTTCCAACTAAACTACATCCCCAACACGTTTTTGTAAGGTTTTTTCATTTGTTTTTGAGATAGAGGTCTAACCTGCCCAGGATGGCCTCAAATTTGTGATACTGCTCCCTTACAGAGTAGCTGGGATTACAGATATACACCACGCCCAGCTCAGCTGAGTTACAACAAACATGAACTATTATCTATTTTCATCCAATTACCAATTAATGACAAAATTACCAACAGAATTTCAGCTCAGATCAGACTTTTCACCACGGTTTGCAGTCATCGTATCTTTAATGCAATCTTATTACACATTTAGTTTGGGGGTCTTTGTGAGGCTTGGAACCGAAAGGGACACTTGACAAGTAAGACTACTGGCTATCAGAAGTTGAAGAGGGCTGTGTGGAGTCCAGGGTTAAACAGCAAGGCAACAACTAGACTACCAGGCAGATCTGCTGGCCATGTTCTCTTTGTCCCACTCACTTTGCTTTTTACCCACAATAATGACCCCAAATGCTGTTTTCAGGACTAATCTACTGTAAAAGAAAAATTACATGCAAAGTTTACAGAGATGAAAATTATGAACATACAGGCCACATCCCTAGGGGCAGCCTACAGCAAAGAATGCTGAACAGGAAGAAGGGCCATGAGCAAGCTGCTCAAAACAGAAGAGGCTCTCCAAGTGAAAGAAGAGCTAGAAAATCACCCAGCCAGGGGTACAGCACATTCTAGGGCCACAACTAACCATTCTGGCCACTCTTGCTTAACCTGCTCTAATTCTGCACTCTCTTTGTCTGGACCTGTATACAGTTTACTACAGGTGACCTCAAAAGCAAAGGTTGTGAGGTGAGCTGAGTTTTAAACAGGGCAAGGCAGACCAAAGAAGTATCTACCACTTCCAAAACTGATCCAAAAAATGTGACAGGAAAGTAGTTTAATCTGAGAAGTCATGATGCTTATTTTTCCTTTCAATACTGAGCAAAAGTTACACTTGTGATCTGGGAGGTAAATCAACAAAATGTTGGCAGTCCCTAAAGATAGCAACAGCTGCTATAAAACTACTATATGCTTTCTAAATTTGGAGATAAATATGGAGTTAAACACTGGCAGCATTCAGAGTAAAAAAACCAAGAGCCGAAAACAAGTGACCTTAAGGTTAGGTACTCAGTACTTGTGAGCCTCATTTTCCACATCTGCCAAATGGGATAATTACACCCAGCTCACCCCCTCAGGTTTATTGTGAAGGGAAAATTACACGTTTGTGAAAGCACTCTGATAAAAGTTGACAACATGCTACAAAGGGAAACCTTATTAGTCCCAACAGTACCCAAGCAGTAAACATTATCTGTACCCAACCAAAACCCAAAGATGACGTGGCTCCCTGAACCCCTGTACAGCACAATTACTCTCAGGCAGCACAATTACTGACACTTCCTCCCCTCCTCTCCAGGCCTGTGCTACCCTACTTTGCAGGCCATGCAGGCTGGTCTGAACCTTGCTGACTGAGTGTCGACAAGCAAGACTCCTCTCACTCAGCTCACACCCAATGTCCAAATCCTGCAGCATTATCTCCAAATCCACACTCAGAACACATACTCCAGGCCAGGTGTCTATTGTGGATCTTATATCTCAATGAAGTTACCAGCTGGCTGATGCCCTGCTGTTCCTACCTTCTGAGAGCTGGACACTTCAAGTGGTCTGCCTCACCACTCGGCAACATCCACACCAGCAATTCCATTTGGCGTTCTCAATGAAGAGTCAGTCTGAAATCTAACACCAAAGTTGAAAATCAATACAGCACAAGTCTTTGGGCAAAGCATACCTCAGAACTACCTAGGGCAAGGCACATGGGCAGTGTCACTAACCTTTCACCATAGGCAATTCCAATTAACTGAAATTGTACTTTACATCTGAGGGAGGAAATGCCCACAGTTAGAATGCAACGATTCTCAGAATGCAGGAACAATGATTCTTTTCAAAATTCTGTATGGTATTTAGCATGGTATTTTATGATTACAGCTCTTAAACATACTGTGTCTCACTGTGCACCTTGTTTGGAATACTAAACAACTCATCTAAATTCCAAATTATTCTCTTTTATATATTAAGTGAAGTGATCTTGAAAAAGACTATATAAAATTTGCCATGAGATACTCTAAAGCTAGCTGTTTAAAAGAATACTGCTCTAAATCCTTTTGTAAAGTTTAAGATACTTTGCTTAAAAAGGTAGTCAACTGCTAATTTTTATGTACTCTAGATGATCTGACAGAGCTCCCCATATTTAAGTGTTGACTAAATGATCTCTTTTCCAATCTTAGGCTTCTAGGATCAAAGAATCTACATACCTGGCAGAAATAATAATTTATTTTATAGTTTCTTAATGTTACGATTATAAACCCTATTCAACTAAAATTCTGCAAACACATGTGCCATATTTTATTGATAATAAACGTCCCCACAAATACACAAACATTTTAACAGCTCTGAAACTGGGTTACATCTAGGAATATATCTAATGTATACAACTATTAGGCTTTTTTCGCCTTAATGGTACATAAAATAATGGCATATATTACATCTAATAGCACCTTGCAGTCAGTAAAATAAGGTAAAATTTATATAATTCAACAGAAAGAAACAATCTTTTCTTTGGGCTGGTTAATTACTCCCTTGACCGGGCAAGATGATGGCTCAGAATTCTGACTGAACTACATTAGAATAATTGAGCTTTCATCAAGTAGTCATTTGATAAAGTATATAATCACAATTCTCAATAGGGACTGCTACTATGACAACCGTTGGTATGGTAGAAAATCTAGAAGGAAATCTCAGAATGACAAACTTCCATTGCCAGGACTGGTAAGAATTCCACTATTAATCCATTTCTAATATTTTTTCATGGGACAGAATTAAACACATATATAAACATGGTATCACTAAAACCCTGTCACTGTAGTAATGCTGAAGATATTTATCAACTTACAATAACTTCATAAAAGAATACTTAGAAGATACTGCTTAAATTCAAATAAATAGAATCTTTATTCAGAAGAATAGTTTAACAGGGAGAAACATCATATCATAATAATCCCAATACATGTACATATATATGACTCTCTACTTCGGTACCTGAAAGTAGTTTAACCAAAGAAAAGTCTAAGGCTCTAGAGGTCTCTTCTGAAAAGCCCTGGAAGGGCACTGTTCCCTCCAGCAGGGGACTTTCATCCTGCTGGGCATAACTGGAATGGAATAACCTCAGCCAGCTTGAGGTCATCTGTCTCCTTTCAATTACGAAGGAAGAAAATAATGTGTTATGGTTAAAAAAAAAAGACATTTCCAAGATATTGCTTACTTTGGTCCCATGACTTTTTTATTAGGAAGATAAGCACCTAGAATCTCACCACAATCTGATCATTAAAACTCAAAACGTCTCTCACCCTACATCAACAAAGAATGCCTTGCTCTACTTGGGAAAGTCACTCTTTTCTAATGAGTACATAGAACTAAAAGAAAGAATCCAGACAACACTCAAATCATCAGATTTCCCATTACTCCTAAATTTAGTGGGGTTCCAAAAGTCATAGTCCAATTTCCTCAACAGTCACAACTCAGTGAAAACCAATTATGATAAACAGTAACAGCCTTAAATGTAAGTCATCTTAATGTGTTAGTCCCTTAATCACTGAGATGCTTAGAAATAAATAAATAATCCTTAAATTTACCCATCTACCTCACCCCACTAAACAGCTGAATGATACATTTTTTTTGAATGATACATTTTTAAATTGTTTTGAAGAAAAGTAAAGTGAGAGAAAAACTTTTCAAGTTTTGTTTTAATTTTAGCAAAACCATACTGAAAAGACCAGCTACAATTACGCAGTATGACCATCATGATTCACAAATCCGCCATGGTCTTCATTAATTAAGTTAATGAAATATTTCCCTTCAGTTATACAATGTATGTGATCAGAATGAAATATAGTAATTTAAGGCAGACAATAAAAGATAATACTTAAAACCAAGAATTTTCCTATGATGAATGAAGTCTGAAAAATTCTGCATTGGGAAAACACAAACACCTGTGAAACGGCAAGGCACCTTCACAATCAATTTTTAGCATACAGTATGTTCTCTAGAGTGAACACCAACAAATGAAAATGGTACACACAATACCTTAGTAAAATGTGTAACAATATTAACAACAAATTCACAGAATTATAAGTCTGTGACAGAGGGTTCTTACAGAAATCAACTTGAGCAAAAGCTCTAATTAAAATCTTTTCTAAATCCAAGTTTAAAAAAATAGTTATGCTACTTTTAATCAGCTTTAAAGTACTCAATTCCCTGGTCATGTTGTGAAGGACCCAATATAAAGGTAGTGCAAGTGCTGGCATAACCTTAACTCTACCAGCACCAGATAACATTTAGTGACTCCCTTCATTTGCTGCAAGAGATACTACAGTAGGCTGGCACTGACAAAGTACTCTTTTGTTGCCTCCATCATTCCTGCTGTTCTAATCTGAATAGAAACTGAGGAGATTCTGTACTTAGCTTCATCTTGTGTGTCGAAATTAAGAAAATAAGGTATTTCAAAAAAATTCAATTTTAATAAGACATTCAGCAAGACTTATTCCTTTTTTCTTTTGTAATTAAAAGCTACTGCATAAGCAAGCCAGTACTTGAACTACTCAGAGACATAAAATGATCTACTCATAAAACAATGCTCAAATAAGACTCATTTAGAAAGTCAGGACTACTCATGCAAAGAGATTTGAGCTTCCCAAGCCTTGCATCGCAAAACCATTACATGTGAACCTTACCAACAATGAGCAGATTAATATATTGAAGTCAAAATACATCTTCAAAAGTGACAAGTCAACTGGTAGTACTTTTATGTAAAAATATCCAGGCTACTTAGGGCAGGTAGCACTCACACCCTTAATGCTAGTGCCCTTGAGCCTAGCACTGCTCCATGAATCAATCCCAGCGCAGCACAGTCTAGACTCAGCCACCTCTGAAAAAGCTCCACCTCTGAGCGCATGAAGCTTTGAGGGGGATGTTATGGTTTGTGTCTGCATGTCCCCCTCAAAGCCTCATGCAGTCATAGGAGGACTTCTAGAGTTCATGATTGATTCATGGTCCAATGTTGGAATAATGGATGTAAGTGTTTTATGGATGATACATTGTGTCAACTTGGGGAGTCTAGAGGCTTGGCTAAGTGACTCAGCAGTTCTGTATTCCCCTGAAAAGGGTGAGAAGGACACGCCCTTCCTGCTCTAGGATGTTGTTCATTTTGTCAATGTGAGCAGTTTGGAAGGTTAAATAAGTGACTGAGCAGGGCGGGCCAGGGTGCTTACTTTCTATAGGACCACATGGTGAGCCTGTGCAGGAGGAAGGCATGGAGATTATGTGAGTGCTACATGCCCCTACGTGGGGGTAGGCTGCTTACAATAGAAGGCAGGGAAAGAGGCTTGCTAGCTCTGCCACTCCCCCTTTAGTTCTTGTTGCTTTTGTTATTCTCTGCCGCTATGAACGTTTGCTCTCTGCCATGTGCCACTCTGCCTTGGAGCCTGCCAAGTATGGACTGAAACTTCCACAAACTGTACGCTAAATAAACCTTTCCTTCCTTAATTCTGGTTGTCAGGTATTTTGTCTCAGCAACGAGAGAAAAGAAACCAAGACAGGGAGACATATAGATATAAGCCATAACACATGGTAATGATGATAACGGGAACCAGACCAAGAAAGAACACAGTCTCTGAAAATGTAGATCAAAATTTACATGTGACTCAGTTCTCTTCCACATAAGGATTTTACTAGGCAGATGTGGGGAAGCCATATACCAAAAGTTAAGTATAGGAGACCTAGATAATGTCAGTATCTGCTTAAAAACCTCTTGTAAAATTTAAAATATAAAACCTCCAAAAAGGAGACAAAAAGAGATGTTTAGTAAGTGACATGTGGCCAGATCTTAACTGCTGTCCTTGACACACTTTCCAAAGAGACGTGAACTGAGGATGGGCTCTCTGGCATGTCAGAGGCGGGCAGAACAAGTGTCTCTCCAGGAAGAAAAGACATCCTACCTCATTTCTCTTGATGAGAGGAAGCCACAAGCATGCAATGCATTTTGAACCTCCATTACCTGCTCCAACTCACCACTCACTCTTTGCACTGGTTCTTTTCATTCATACTCACCCTGCATACCAGGCTATTCATCCCACATTGCTTCCTGCCATCCTCAATGTCTTTCCTTTCCATTAAACTACCTATCAAAAGCCTACCCATCCTTCAAGATACAGTCCATGTGTAGCTCAGCAAGAAGTCTTCCTGGTGTTTCCAGACTCTCCAGGCCTAGCTGCAGTACTTTCTCACATTCCATCTTGCCTTGGGTGGCCTGATTAGTGTGTGGATTCTGAGGACTGCCTTCCCCATCTCCAACCAGAGCTAACAGTGCCACACCCACATACCTGGCTTTCAATGGTTATGTAAGAGAAGTTTAAGTCCAATTAGCACTCTGGACTGCACTTGTGTAGCACAACTGGTCCTGGGATAAAATGGACTGAGCTCTATTTTTTTTAGTTGTGTGAGTTGCTAGCTTAAACCAGGTGCCTGGCAGAGAACCTAGACATTTTAAAATGTGCCCTAGGGCTCTCTTGAACATGTCTAAACAAAAACACAGTATTATACTACATTTACCTTGCAGCAAATCCAACTGAAAACATTAAAGCTAACTTAAAGCAAGTCCCTACATGTGCTCAAAGTGAGGTTTTGCTTCATTAGAAGCCTAAAATTTAATGCAATATAGATATTCAATAGAAAGAACAATCAGTTACCAGGACAAAGTTGCTTTTATCAACCAATTTCAATTCATGGTCTGGCATATTTACTTATAACACTTGTAGAAAATTTAAGTGATTTAATGAACTGGAAAAGATGATAAATTTTCAGTAATTCACATGAAAGAGGAAAGCAGTCATATGAATAATCCAAAAAATGGATAATTAAAAATATTTTTTATGTAGCTCTGAAATGTGTTTTGTCTGTATTTAATATTGAATGGATGAATTTCTACTTCATTAGACACACCCAATCTTCAAACAAAGTACTAAAACAGGGCTATGTGCACTGGGTAGGCAGTGGACAACTCATGCCTCCTCCTCCAACAAACCCCACTACTGAGGGTGGGGGACGTCCCACTGCAGAGTACTGTAACCATGAGCACCAGTACCAAAAGTACACAGCTTGTATCTGTGTCTTGAGTTATGAAGAGCCAGTGTTAGACATTTTGCTTAAAAAATAAGAATTATCAACTTCAATCTACGTATTCCCTTAAAGGTGGACAAGAAATAAATGGGAATGATAATATCAATAATGGAATGGCTGAATATTTTGGCTACAGCTGCAAAGTCTCTTACTGAGCTTACATTTATGAAAGGAAAGTTTTATCACCAGCAGTGATTTTAAAAACCATTAGTAGTGTTGAAAATGCAAAGTAATTGTTTTAAATCCATACTGATTTTTAATTTTGCCAAAAAGAAGAAAAAACCCTGAATTCTCAAATAACAAGTTCAACTGGGTATAAAAGTATATTTCTTGGAAAGTAGGATAAGGTAAATGAATTTTGTATGTGCCTGTTTGATGTGTGTGTATGACTTAAAAGCATTATGCATTTTTTAAGCAGTTTTGAATTGTGCTGCTGTAGAAAGTATTTGCAGTAGCATAAGTGAGCAATCCCTCTGCGACCTCTCAGCACCATCTAGTAGTACAGATGTAGAACTACAGCCCTCTTAAGGGCATTTGCACACCAGGCATGGTGGAACATGCCTGTAATCCCAGCACTCGGGAGGCTGAGGCAGGAG